AAAAAATTCCGTACACCTAAAAAAGAAAATGCTTTCAATAAAGGGAGGACTCTTTGGTGACATAACTAGAAACTCCTCCTTCAAAGACAAAAGGAGTTTGGCAAAATCATAACATGCATTCTGAAAACAGGACAGCAGTAAGGAGGACACTGTTTAAATTGCAACATATACAGTAGTGAAGGTAATGTATTCATTGCAGGTCTACTGATCTTATGACTGCCTGGTTTTATTTGAGCACATAAAGAAATGATGGCTACACAGTACTGCTTACAATATGTGCACCTTTCTTACAGTTTGAAGAATTACACTGACAAGCACTCAGTATAAAAATTGTGTCATCATTATCCTCATGTTCTTTTAAACCTGTATGACTTTTTTCTTCTGCAGAACACAAAAGAAGATATTTTGAAGAATGTTTCAATGTTGTTTTTGTACAAAACAACATTAGACACACTGAATTTCATTGTATGGACTTTTTTCCCCCAAAAGATCTCCTTTTGTGTTCTACAAAAATAAAGCATATACGTTTGTAAGGATATGAGGGTGACTAAACAACAACATTTTAGTTTTAGTGGGTGAACTGTCCCTTTAAGGTCTGGTGTAAAGGTCATAGTTTTTTTTTACTTTATGAATACATTTGTGTAAAATAGCTACCGCACTGTGGCTTTTTCTATATTGTAAATTAATTATTGCTTAACAATTGTCTGATGTGTGTGAGGAAGACATCACTCACAACACATATCATGTCTGTTTTAGCAGTCAACATTCCAAATGTCAAGACATAAATCAGGTAGGTCTGAAATTTATTTCGAACAATATAGAATGACTGGAAACAGAATGGCATTGAAAAGAGATCAGAAGAAAACATTTTTCTAATTGTCTGGTTGATCACATGTACTCTTCTAGAAACAGATTCCAATACTTCATGTCACAATGAAGCAGCTGAGGCAGATGAAGTATACTCAGGTTACCTGTGCAAGTCCCCTCCTTCTGGCCAGATAAAAATTAAGGTATAATATTTAGATTTCCTAAACACAAATATCAGCAGATTACATGTATTATCTCTGTATGTCAAGTTTCATTGTCCATTGCAGAAAGCATGGAAGCGTCGCTTCTTTGTGCTTTCAAAGACAAAAGACAGCAGCCATGAGCTAAAATACTACAAAACCACTGAGAGAGACAGTCATATTAAATCCATAGTGGTTTCCACGTAAGACAAAATCTGCTGAATGCTTTTGAAATGAGTAAAAATAATTAATATTATACAATTATATAATTATTTTCTTTTATGTAGCATCACACTGCTGTATATGCGCCCTGAATCGCATTCAGCCATTGAATGGATCTGCAAAAACTTCAGGTGCTCTTCATCCTATGTGCTCTTCATGAAAGCAGAAGATCCAAAAGAGAAGGCCCAAAGAGAATATTTATTCATTGGAGACACCAGGTTTGCAGTGACTATCATTGCTTTACCATAACGGCCAGTAAATAAAGGCTAGTAGTTGTAGTGCTGTTATATGTGCTCTGTTGTTTTCAGTGAGGAGGTGGATAGATGGTTCAATGCTTTATCCGGGATTTTGAAGGTTAGACATTCTACTTTTTTCCTTATATGAAAAGCTGTAATCAGTATGCTCTCTTTGAAAAAATCCTTAAACCATATTTTTTATTCAAATAATATATTCAATATTTTACTTTTTTAAATATATTGCAATTTCATATATTTTTTTATAATTTTAACTAATTCTTAATCAATGTAATTTGATGAGACTTACAGTTAATTTTCAAATTGTGTTAATAGAATATCAAATCTGAATCACAAACTGAACCTCAGATCAAGGCAGAATCCAACTCTAGTGACCAAAACCTCCGTGACACTGACGAGGTAACTCATCAGCATTGCTTTGCTTGTGTGTGACTGGAATTCAATCCCCAATCCCCATAATGTCAGCATTATTTCTGAGTATTACCTCTTCTTAACTAGACTAAAGTTGATAGTCGACCCCCACTGCCTCCAAAGAAGAAGTCAGCATCTAAAGTGGTTACCACTCAGCATGGTCCATGTAGCCAACCACCCAAGAACAGTCCATCTGCAACAGAGGTATTGTATAAACCAATAAAAACAGGCTCTCACCAAACACTTACATCATGATTCATTCCGACTTTAAAAAACCCACATACCTTTGTTGTATGTGTTCAGGTGTATAAAGAGATGCAAAAAGAGGAAACCCTAGATGAGGACAGCAAAGAGTACATGTCATCAAGGTATGACAAACCTTTTCTAGATTTAAACGTACTTTACCTCTCTTTAAGTTGTTAGACAGTGATTGTTGTTCCTCAGGTAAAATTACTCTTTAGATCTAAATCCATTTGTTTCCTTCTTGAATAAGCATGAGGTGGTCTAATAGACCAATTTGTCTTTGATTTGCTGCTCATTTGATTTCCATCTTTTAAAATAGTTAATGTTGCAATGAATGTATGAACGCTTGTTTTGTGGTAATCAAGAGTCATTTTCCAAAGTCTTTTATAAATGTACTCTGCATGCAGATGAGTTCACTGATTTTAGACGCCTGGTTTTATAAACTCACAAGCTTTGTGCAGTAATGTTTTACTGGCTGCTGATCGGTGCTGCAAATAATAAATGATAATTATTTGCTTCTCTCTCAAGGCAGAGCGTGACTGGTTCATCTGAAGGCAGTCTGTTGGATTGTGTCACAAAAGCCTTGAATTCTTTGACACAGCAAACTGAGTCAGATAGGTACAAAACACCCTAGAGGATAAAATCTGAAGCTTAGTGCAAAACTGTTCTTTTACTGTAACTTCCTGGACCACCATAATGGGTTGTCAATCAATGTCATCCCAGAATTTGAGTAATGCAAGAAACCAGAACAATATCTCTGAAAACTCTTGCTGTGACCAGCTAAACTGGTCAGTTCCAGACAAGAGTATATCTCTAGTATATAGAATATATCTCTAGTACTACCTAAATATATCTTAGTATGAAGAGCAATTCAATGGAAAACAACTGTTTGAAAATATCTGAAAACTGCAGAAATTAGTTTTCAATCAACTGTGGTTATGAAATTGTGGTGGAATCAAGTTACATTTTGACAATGTTTTCCATTCCTCAGTGAAACGCACACCATTCTCGAGACGGAAATCTACGTAAGTCATCGTGAGCTGAAGAGGTTGATCTTTACAGAGGAGGCGGGCAAACCATGGTACAATTCTCACTGATAAATTAGGAAAAGTCATTGCTTCAAAAATACTCTATCCGCTGGAAGACTTCAAATTTTGAGTTGACCCCAAAACTGTCATGCCCATGCGCCCTCTGATTTTTCAGCTAAGTTCATGCAAGTTTGCTTGGATGTATGCAACAACAACAATTAGCCTATATATTATATTAGGGCTGGGCAGACTTGGAAAGCTGAGCTGAGCAAAAATAACAAAGCTTATCTCGATTTATTGGATGAGGTGCGCTACAATGTTCCATTCATTCATCAACTGAAAACAGCATAGACTGAAAAGATCGATCCTTGGGATTTAAGAAATCGAATCGATTCTTCAAAATGAGAATCGATTAAAATCGACACATAATTTATCCAGCCCTACTATCTGTCTATACACCTCTATATGTGCATGTATGTGTGAAATACTTCTTATGTTTAAGTTATGTTATTTTCCTCCACATCTCTTTTCCTCTCCAGTGTGTCTGAGTGTCAGCAGATTCAGAACTCATGTCTGTTCCAGAAGGGGGATCAGATCCTGGCTGTCAATGACCTGTTGACAGACACAGTGGAGGAGATGCACAGATACCTAAAAAGACTTAGCAAGGATGAGGTAGTCAAGAGTCAGAGTACAAGAATGCTTTTGTAATAATCAGGGCTACAATATAACTATAGTTGACTTTTTTGGTTTTGTTTGTTTTTCGCTCCCCATCCAGGTAAAACTGACCATCCGACGGCTCTCACGCTCCATTCCTCTCCATCTGAACCCTGCTGAGAACAAAAACTAAACGACCTAATCTCATAGCACGTTGTTTATCTTCTTCATCTGATTTTTCAGGCTTCAACTATTCTCTCTTCATTAAGTTTCTGGTGCATTTTTTTCTCAGTGAGTAACTAGCAGCACTGAGCTGGAGATCAGTTGACGATTGTTTAAAACAAAATGAGCTGATGAATGTGTTTTATCGTAATATAACTTCTAGACTCGCTAGTGGAGATTTCTAAAACTATGCTTCACTGGAATTTATGATTTGTTAGTGCCAGATCAAACAGGCTGAAAGCACTGCTTTTCACACAACCCAGGTCGTCAGGTTGTACATACAGGTTGTCAAAAGTAAAACAAGTAGCTTTTGTGTTCCTGTGTGGCCTACACGAAGGCTTGCTGAGTTCATGTTCTACTAAATCTAACTAAAGAGGAAAGACCTGTTATACTTGTACAGAATAGTGAAAAATTAATAAAAGAAACAAATTTTCAACTTTCTTCTACAGTATCAGTAAATAAATGTTGGGATTACAGATATGTTGAACAGTATTTTGATGTTATTTTTAACTGCCTGTGAATCTGTGTACTGAAACTGCAATTAACTGCAATTAACTGCAGTATGTTCTGTAACCACATGGTGGCAAGCTGACACAAACTGAATTATTTTAAAACTTAAATCTTGTGATTCTTATATCTTGAATTCTGATTACTTCCAGCATTTAAATTCACAGCAAAGTGTCTTGGTTTGCTAAATAAATGTGTTTTTTATAAACTGCAGCAGCATTGAAACTTGTTTGTAACAAACCCAAATGTATTGTTTTTAATTGAAATGAGATTCAGATGTTTAAAAAACAAAAGATAAAACTACTGACTACCTGCTAAAGAACTGTTGAGCACGTGTATTGAAATGTATTACTTTTCTTACAGGAAATGTTATTATCTTGTATGTGCACAAGTATAAAATAAAAATATGCAATTCAGAGAACAAAATCATTAGTACACGTGTGAAACGAGTGTAGAGTGAATAGAATTTATTTCCTTTAGAAACTTCGAGTAAAAAAAAACCCTCCTAAAATAAGAGGGCATATGTGGTCCATTCCAGCATTAGCCACTGGCAAGGTAAAAACAGGCAAGGGAGCCAATAGTAAAATGAAACACTATTAACCGTTGTGCAACCAGCACTTAAATGGCAGGTTGAAGCCCCTTCTTTACAAATGAAAGAAGGCAACCCAAAACACTCAGAGGTCCAATCAATAAAGGCACCATCTGACTGTTTGGTCAAAGGTTTGATTGTGGATGTCAGTTTACTTTATTGCCTTGTTCCACAGCTTGAGCTTCTCAGGGCACATGGTGTCGAGCTAAGGTTTCTGGTTTTCAGTCTGCCACTCATAGAAGAAGCCCTCCATGGCTTTCCTGCTCCTCCAGCTGCCCACATTCACAGTGGGGATGATCTTTTTCGGCTGCAGCCACTGCACGAAACGCTTCAGCTCTAGATAACTGCTGTGCTCGCTGTAGGGAATACCTGGAATAGATAAGTATAGAGTAGTAAAGTAGCTTTCAAAATCTTTGAGATGATGGGAAAACCTATTTATACAAGTCTGTGAACCAACAATGATTTCTGCTGCTTACGCAGAGTCATATTCTAACCTTTTGTACCATTATTTAACAAATATGTAGTGTCTTTGTGTAAAGACCTGAAATACTGTAACAAGCACAAAATCCCATTAATTCCCCCGTTGGATGTCTCAGATTCCAGCGGAGCTTGTGAAATGCGATGCATCTAGTGCTTGAGGCAGCACCTGGTTCGGCTGAAAGACCGCTGATATTCTGAAATTAAAACCCTGGGCTTGCAAAATCTGACATCTTGAGTTTTTCTCTGGGTCAAATCACATCTGCTGATTCTGTTAATACAAGGCATGCTGTTCTTAGCCTGAAACAACATTCAGCATTTCCTACAACTGCAGTAAGGGTGAAAATAAATAAATAAATACAATGTAATTACATTCCACATACAAAGCCATTAGGTATAATCTTGTCAGTTAGTGGAACAGAATGACAAGGCTGTGTTGTGTCTACACTGCAAATCAGTTTAATAGAAAGCAATCCTTTTTATAATCTTATTAAGGAAAGGATGGTGTGACATATCAATAAAATATAACGTGATTTCTGCATAAATTTTTTTTTTTGGTAAAGGCCTACAATTAAGCAAAATGGAGCAAACCTATTACACCACCATTTTACTCTCAAATGGAGCAAAATGATAAGGTGTTCTTTATTTGCTTTGTCAAATGCCTTATTTCCATTTTGATTTAAAAGGATGACAAAAATACTCACTCATTTTGCCTAGGGCACTTAAAGTCACTAGACAAACAGGAGGAAAAGTTGGAGGGTATTTTTTTTTTCCTCTTATAAAATCAAAATGCAAATATGGTATTACAGAAACCCCTTCTGTTGTACATCCACTTCCCTAACTGCACTTAAACACTTGCTATAACGACTCAGATAAATACAATCATTTTATTAAATCCTTTATAAATAGACTGACACATACCATAGATACTGATGTTCCCTTGGGTCTGAGGTTGAATGTCTTCCACTCCCACAGTTTGGTTGAAGGTCCAGCCTGTGGGTTTGAAGGCCACTAGCTGGTCATACTTCCTGGAGAACTTATTCAAGTGTGTCCGCAGGTTCTGTACAGTCAAGAAAGGGCGATTGTGAAAACATGAAAGGAAAAAAACGAAAATAAAATAAAAAATAATTCCATCAAGTCATATAAACATTTAGGCTGGCTAGTTTAAGTTTTTTTGGATAAAGTTCCCTGTCTGGGAAAACTCTCCACAAACTCTCAATTGCAAGTTATAAAGTCTCAATTCTGAGGGATAAAAGTCAGCTCATAATTCTGACATTTTCTTTCAAAAGTTCATATTTCACAATTCTGACTTTAACTCGCAATTGCGAGTTTATATCTCACATATAGCGCGAGATATGCTAGAAAAAAAATGTCAGAAGTGTGAGATAAAAAGTCGCATTTACCTTTTTTATTTTTTATTCAGTGGTAGAAACAAGCTTCCATAACACATGTGCTGCCATGAATATTTATTATTTCTTCTAGGATAAGGCAACGCATTCTCACGAATAATTATAAGAAATGTGTAATCGATGTACTACAGTGTTTCACCAAGTCACATTCTGTAGAAAATTAAAGCACTCATTGCAGAGGGAACAGTTTAACCAGTGTTTGTTGAGATGCAGTTACATGAAATCCATTTTATGCATGTTCCATTTCACATCCGTTTTATGGTATTCCACACAGGCTACACACGGTCACAGTTAGATGCATATTAAGTGATTTTCTTTAGATTTGAAGCAGAGTTTATTTATTAAGTTTTTTGCAACCCCAATAAAATCACTGGGTCTTATAAGGCCACCCCAGAAAAAAAGTTCTGGCTACGCCCCGTGCAAACGTAATAAATCCAAATGTAAATAATATATATAATGCTGTTCAAAAGTTTGGGGTCAATAAGATTTGTATTTAAAGAAATTCATATTATATATTATATTTCCTTATATGCAGGAAAAAATGCTTTAAATTGATCAATTGGCAGTAAAGACTTTATAATCTTACAAAATATTTTCATAAAAAAAAAAAAATGCTGTTCTTATGAACTTTCTATTCACTTAAAGAGTCCTGAAAAAAATGTATCACTGTTTCCACAAAAATGTTAAGCAACATAACCGTTTTCAACATTGATGATAATAAATAAATATTTGAGCATCACATTTCTGAAGGATCATGTGACACTGAAGATTGGAGTAATGGCTGCAGAAAATTCAGCTTTGCCATAACAGGAATATTTTTTTTTTAGAAAAACAAACATTTTAAAATCTATAAAATATTCAAAAAGATAAATTGTTTTAAATTGTAAAATTTCACAATATTACTGTTTTACTGTATATTTGGTGAGCATAAGAGACTTCTTTCAAAAACATTTAAAAAAAATCTTACCCACTCCAAACTTTTAAATGGTAGTGTATATGGCAAAAACTTACAGGGTAATCAAAGTCAAATGATGCCACATTGCAATCAGCTTCTTTCTTCATTCAATTTACATAATTACTTTTCAATGTTGCTGCAAAAGGAAATGTTGTGCAATCTACAATTAACCTCGCCATGAAATTTTTCCTCCTTCCTGTCATGGGCATTTAAACACGTCTCTCATTGGGAACAGCTCCAACATTGCATGTGTGAGAAAAGTGGAGTATAATGGTTTAGTGCACATCATATGACTAATCTTTATTATCTGCAACTGTCTCATTAGAATTTACTTTCAGTCAGACTCATTCAGTGCTACCGCAGCCAGAACTGCTGCGTTGGCACTTGGTCTCTGTAATTAGAATCCTAATTTTTTCCTCCTACATTAGCATAAATTCGCTGTCAAGGAAAATTTAAGATAACACTGAACTCTGCATGAATTTTAAACTCCAAATTGAATAAGTAAACATAGCCTCATTGATTGTGTTTAGCATAATCAGCTCTTTTTATAAGCTTATGATCTCAAATAGCAAAAAATGCAGATGATAAAAATTGCATTTCGTAATTTATAACTGACATATGAGAAACAAGTTGAAGAAGTTTTTAATATAGTTAAACTCACTTTAAAATTGAGCTGCATCATAGGTAGCACATGCACCTGGGCCGCCTGCCAGTCTGTAGTGATGCGCCAGCCAATCTCCTCGGACTCCAGGCAGCACATGGTGTTATACTTATCCTTGGACAAGCATACTTTAGAGCCTAACACTTCCGATACAGCTAAAAGAACAGGTGGGACAGGTAAAAAATGTTATCTCTATGTACAAAAGGAATGAAAATCAACCTATTTGGATTTGGAAAGCAGTAATTAAGCAAGACAGTCAAAAGAGATTTCATATTACTGGTGAACGGAGATAACACTACTGTTTGTGATAAGAGCTTTAGAAGTAAATGGGCATAGGACATTAATCATGGATACATCTTGTAAAATGAACAGGAAAGCCAGTCAGACAAACTGCTGACCAGGAACATTTCAAAGTCAAGTAAGGACAGCATCTGCAAACTATTTTTGTTTTTATATGAGCGTCATTCATGATAGTCAGTTTATAGAAAGGCGAACAATCTGTCCTTTCAAGAGTGGATAAAGAAGCACAAGGTCTACAAAAGGTCTGGGCAAAGCAGGACAACATATTCTCACTCACCTAGAAAGACCTTCTCTTTCCCAACTGAGTAGGTGCCACACACCACAAGTGTACGAGGGTTCATAGTGACCTGTTCAAAAGCTGTGTTTACAGCAAAGGTGATGGCTTCCTGTTGAGTGGGAAAGGTATATTCTGGACTGCAATACCTACAAAAGATACGATTTTTTAAACCTATTAATATCAGTCTCAGTTGATGTGATCAAAAGCAGTCAGCAGAGACACACTGACGAGAGAAACAGAAAGCAGAACAGAAAAGTAGCTTTGTTAGTAGGGAACTCACGTTGTGTCTAGATAGAGGGTCTGTATCCTGAGACCCTGCAGCTCTGGGTAACGCTCCATGGACGGATCAGCCCGGAAGTCACCGGTGTGGAGTACCTTCTGGCCGTCTGGCAGCACAAATAGCAACATGGCTGCCCCAGGACAGCTGGGGGGAGAAACAGTTATAGAAATTAAGGTCTTACTCTGTTACTCTGTATGAACAGTCCAAACAATAATAAAGCTACGAAAGGAAAAAAAAATAGGGTCCTGCAAAAAAGAAATAAAATTGGCTTCAAACATTCATTAGTTAGAAGATACACTCACTGATTAGCATCCAGGAGAGTGACCTTCACTCCTTGTACTATACACTCTGTGTTCATTGGGAGAACATGAACATACTGCTCATCCACCTTCAGCTTGGTCTTCACAAGGTTACCAGTTACCTGCCATGATTAACACCATTTTGTCATGAAAACACCCTGACACTATCATTGAGGGAAAACCTGAAAAACATTTTTCTACAGTTCCATGCCATTTTGCTTTCCCCATTTTCCAAGTCCCCTTATAATGGTAGTGAAGGTTTCTAGTGCCAAAAGGTTTTGCATTCCATTTCCGTGTTCTGACCCTTAGAATTAGACATCGATTGACATATAAATCTGAGGTTTTATGGTAATGTATTGACAATTCTGATATAAAAACCCCAACATTTCTGGAGCTTAAAGGGATAGTTCACCCAAAAATAAAAAGTCTGACACCATGTACTCCCCCTCTGGTTGATCAAAATTGTATGAATTTCTTTCTTCTGTGGAGCATAAAAGAAGATATTGAGAAATAGATGTTTTTGCATTCAACAGAAGTCAATGGTCTCCAGTTGTTTGGTTCCAAATGTTCTTCAAAACATCTTTCTTTGTGTTTCGCAGAAGAAAGGTTTGGAACAAATCATGTCAATTTTTAAATTTTTTGGGTGAACTACAATATCCCTTTAGTTTCTTGGAAGGGAGATTTTAATTTTGAATGTTAGAGTATTTCTACATAGAAAATTCATAAGTAAAACTCTTCTGTTTCTAAATAGCAAGGGAAATTCGGTTTTTATGATTTTTAAAGTGAAATGAGGCAGGGAGACATACTTTGTTACAATAGATGGGCAAGACAGAGTTTTTCTTCAAGCCACCGTAGTGGTCCGAGTGGAAGTGAGTGAGAAAGTAGGCTGTGATGCCTTCAACAGTCCCATACTGAAAAGCATCCACAGCAAATCCAGTTCCTGAACAGAGAAATATCATATTATAGTCTCCAAAGTACAATCGACTAAAACATTGTCCCTCAAGCTAAACAACAGAGCTACTGTATATCATAGGAAAAATAAATAAATTCACACACACACAATCTGGTACATTAAAATTCTGGCACAGCTTATAAGACATGAAGTATAAGTGCTTATGTAATCATAACAATTGTTATTGAATAAGTCAAAACAAAAGCCTTAAAGCAGTTCACAAACCAGGAATTTTCTTGTAGAACGGACAGCGCTTGGGCTCCTCGGGATCTCCATCTGTCGCTTTTCCTCTGTTCCATCTCTTCCACCCCTCTGCCCTCCCTCCTCTTTTCCCTTCTGTTTGCGTGGGCCTAGTCATACCATCTTCTGCAGCAGGCGAGACACTGGACACTTCAGATGGTGCTTTGGTCTTCCTACGCCGTCTACCCTGGTGCCTAGCGTCTTCCCCCTGAGCTTCTGAAATCCTTGCTTTCCTAGGCCCTTGCTGATCAGCCTCCCTGACCGTTGCCTTCACTTCCTCCTCAGCCTTTTTTTCACTCAATGGCTTCAGGCCAAAAAACACTCCAATGTCTGTTTGCTTTAATCCAGAGGGACCGGTCTTATTCTGAGTCCTCCTAGGAGCCATAGACGGTGTTTTCTGAGTTATGGATAGGGCTGTTTGGGTGGAAGACAATTCTTGGTTTATGAAAGTGGCGTTAACTTCTTCAAAAGGTGAAGCCAAACTGTTGACACGTGCAGGATTAGATATACGATCCCGAAGATGCTCTAATACCAAACTTTGGGGTGACTGTAACAGAGAGTTTGGACCTTCATTGTTTGTTGTGGCATGTTTTCCCATTGATTGAGCTCCCTGCTTAGAATTTGTTCCATCAGAAACACCTGTGGAACTGGAATTGGTCAGGTGATTATCAGGTGCTAACGATGTCTGCAGTTTCTCACAGGTGTCCAATGAGTTTTTGTCTGGCCCATGTTCCCTGTTCCCAGTCTCATATTGGTCCAGCATATCAAAGAACAGATCATCATCTTCATCGCTGAACAGTTTAAGAGAATCATCATCAACTTTATTTTCATCTTCCTGCAATGCAGTACTGGGAAACAGTATCTCTTTATTGTTTTTTTGCATCCTGTGCTCCTCATCCACATCTTGAAGTTCGGAGAGTGGAGAGTAGGAGATATAATCATCATTAATACATTTAAAGAGCTCTTCTTTAACCTCATTAGTCTGTGTCTGAACAGCACTGTGAACACTATGTGCCTTGACTGGAGATGGAATTGTCATGCTTGACTCCTGCGATGAATTCTGGGACTGAGATCTTTTGATGGAAGGAGACCAGCCTTTCTTTTTCTTGATGTCCTCAGTGTTAGGGGAGCGCAAAAGCAGCAGAGCATTGCTCTGGGTGGGAGTTCCCTTTGGCACATCACCGGAGGATGAGTTTTGGCTGGATGAAGTAAATTTATTTAAAGCACTGTACACTGAGCTCTCTGTACCATTTGTGGGAGCAACATTATTATGTGACTTCAAGCTGAAGTCTGAGATGCCTTGAACCGTGCAGTCGTTCAACGCTCGACTCTGAGCGAGCAGAGAGTGGTTGTGCCTTTTGTAATGATTGGGAATGGAGGACGTACATTGAAGACCATCTGGACATTCTGTAACATTAGAAGACAGAAAAAGTTTAAACAATTTTTTCCTTAAATATTATACGTATTCTCCCAAACATTGAACATTAAAGTTTTAAAATCTCACACTGATTCCCAATTAATGGATAATTTTAATAATGATGGAGTTCTCAAACCTTAGGATCAATGAATTTCCATGAGTTTTTTAATTAAAATAACAAATATTATGCAACAAAATCTATATATTAGTGCTTTCAAATCGATTAATCGCATCTAACATAAAAGTTTTGTTTATATAATGTTTTATATATATAAAATAATATATTTATATATATATTATTATTATTATTATTACATTTATTGTGTGTGTGTGTGTGTCTGTGTGTGTGACACATAAAAGCATTACCTTTACAATTGTCAACAGGGGTATCTAAGCATTCTGCAACATGCCATTGTTGAGACTGAACCACCAAAAGGGAAAATGGCATTTGACAGACAGGACAGAAGCCTCCTGACTGAGTGTCTGTATCCTGGACATCCTGAGAAAGTGTCCCACCATGATTCACGTCCACAGAGTCTGAGCTTACAGTGTAAATGGGCGCAGTATTGCTATTCTGGTCTAAATCAGTGTGTGTTTCAGCACTGTTGACTTTGGTTGTTTGCACTGATGTCCCAGGGTTGCAATCCTTTCTCTTCTTTGCCCCACGTTCCCTTGATATCTGTGATTTGCAGCTTCGTTTTTTGGTCTTCTTAAGAGGTTTATAATTCCAGATGTCATTCTCAGAGCCGCTCTGTGACATTTGTAAACATTAACAGATTCTAGGCTACTGGTTTGTTTTGTTTAACACAGTTGTTTTGTAACATCACATTCATGGTCTCCTAATGCAAAAAAAGATTAAAAAAAAAACGCAACCGTACAAAGACCGTATCATGCAGAAATTCATCCCAAAATAAAAAGCCTACAGAAAAGCGAATTTAACAAAAAACGTTCATATTAACTTAGATGAGAAATTAAACCGAGCACTATCTTCCGTCATTGCACTTACCGCCAACGTTGAAAGCATTTATTTTCCCATTGATGTTCGCATTTTCCATATTGCATAACCTCTCCGGTAATACCATAAGGCATCCAGGACCTTTATTTACAAATTTAATAAACCCATTATTTTTAGTAGTTTGACGAATATATTTATTGCTCGCAAAACAAGTTTGTCACGGATATGGTTAAGATATGTTTTTGTCGAAAGTGCCGAGCATAAACTCTGGGTTGTTATTGTTGTGGGAGAGTCATGGCGTCTTACAGTAAGCTGACAGATATTTTCTCCATTCAGAGCCAGCTAGATTGTGCCTTAGAGGACTCGACAACTCAACAAGAGAAGGAAAATCTCGTACATCAGTATTTGCACAAAATAGATGAGAAGGAAGATTTAATCATACCGGATTTTGAAGATGGTAAGAGTGTAAATGAACTCAGTGGTGATGAGTGTATTTACAGTACCGGTATTTGTATCTTATGGGAGTGGATTTAAAACTTCACCCCAGTCATAGATCGATTTGTGGTGTTAGATAAATGACTGTCATCATGGAACATGACAAGCCAATTACAAATTGTTGTTTGCTGTTTACTGCTGTATAATATTGTATTGAATCAACAGTGAGTGGTAAAGCTGTAGCAAGTGATCTAATGCATATTCGGTAACGTTAGAGATCCGAGATATATATTAGTGATCACCCATTGGTTTGTAACTAGGGCCCTCAGTAGTTTTCCAAAGAGGTCTTACGATGACTTAATTTTTTTAACAATATAATTATGTTGACAGTCCTAGTTTCTGTTTATAATATATTATATAGTTAGGACCTCTGAATCTAAAACTCACATTTTTTTAAAATCTCTAACCATTCCATTGTTATTCTGCAGGACTGGAATGGTTGAACACAGATAGGCCGCTGTCACTCAGGAAGGAACTGTCAGGCAAAGTGGTGGTGCTTGACTTCTTCACCTACTGCTGCATAAACTGCATGCACCTACTTCCTGATCTACACCATTTGGAGCAGAGTTACTCCATAGAAGGTATATACACAGAGCTGTTAGGCATAGGGGCTTAATTCTGGCATGAATGTAAACGAGGATGTTTGTGATGGAGTCTGTTTGTTGACAAATGAAAGACAAAGAGAGCGTAAAATTAAATATGACATCTATCCTGACTCCAATGGTCATTATGCTGTATATTACATCATTAGGTAAACAAAAAGCATCTTACAATATGAAGCCGCAGTCAATAGCCAATCAAGATAAATGTTTCTTGGCTGTTTTACTTTGGACCTTACACATATCCTATAGTAGATTGTGTCCAGGGTTCCCTGGGATAGAAGTCAGAGCCTTTTGAGCTTGATAACTATTTTCTTCTGGTCCAGCAACACATTCCCATTATCTCTTAACTGTATCGGATATGAGACTTAAAATATCCAGAGACCAGGTCGAGGGCAGGGAGTTTCACATAGATACACCATCATACTGGCCTGTGGCTTATTATAGCAGCTCTGCGTCCAGTGCTATCAGCTCCAGCTGTCAGTAGCCCATCGGTAGCCGCTTCTGTGGGATCATCCGGGGCAACTGGCCAGGCAGCCGTCAGCCCACTCACTGGCATATCTCACACATACCTCATCTTGGCACTTCTTTTGGTACATTCCAGGGGCGTAGAATTTAGTAGGGACACTAGGGACGTGTCCCTACCAATATCCAGTGACACTGATATATCCCTAGCAATAATTTCGATCAAAACTTAAAATATATTTATATATTGATGTCCCCGTCCCCACCAATTTCAAAATCAAACCTACGCCACTGGTACATTCTGTTACCGCTGTTCTGTTACAGAAGCACTCCCCACCCCTCCTCCCAGTGTCTCATTAATTATTAGGGTTAATCGCTGATTATATCACAGAGCAGTGGCCTTTTATTATTACGCAGAGCCTTTGTTTTTACTCCTGCCATTCAAGTCACATATTCTACTGTTGGTTCTGGGAGGTTATCAATAAATCAGTTCAGATTTGTTCTTGCCCTGCCAGTATTTTCAAAGGCACCATCACAACGTTGTGTGTTAATAAAACATTCATTTTAAATGGCAAGTTACGATAGTGTGCGAGAGTTCTTTATCTGCAAGGCACCATCACAAAAATGCATTTTATTTTCAGCAACATATTTTATATGCGTCAGGAGAATATATTTATATTTTTCATTTAATGTAAAATTTCTTGTACAAAACAAAAAACAACCTATTTATTGTTTTATTTCACACAAGTCCAAAAGTAGACCGAGAACCCAATCAAACAGATTAGAAAAAAAAATGTATTACTCATTTATTTATTGAGAAAAAGGATCCAGTTTTACATATCTGTCAGTGGCAAAAGCATGTGAACTCCTGCTTTCAGTATCTGGTGTGATCACCTTGTGCAGCAATAACTACAACTAAATGTTTGTGGTAACTGCTGATCGGCATTTAAGCCCATTCCTCAGTACAGAACAGCTTCAATTCTGGGATGTTGGTGGGTTTCCTCACATGAACTGCTTGCTTCTGGTCCTTCCACAACATTTCAGTTTGATTAAGGTCTGGACTTTGACATGGCCATTTGAAAACATTGTGTTGGTTCTTCTTTAACCATTTCCTTGGTAGACTGGGGTTGTTTTCTTGCTGCATGACCCACTTGAGCTTCTGTTCACGGACAGATGTCCTGACATTTTCCTTTAGAATTCGCTGGCATATTTCAGAATTCATTGTTTCATCAATGATGGCAATTCGTCCTGGCCCAGATGCAGCAAAACAGGCCCAAACCATAATACTACTACCACCATCATGTTTAACAGAGGAGATAAGGTTCTTATACTGGAATGCAGTGTTTTTCTTTCTCCAAGCATAACGCTTCTTATTGAAACCAAAAAGTTCTATTTTTGTCTCATCTGTCTGCAAAACTTTTTTCCAATAGCCCTCTGGCTTGTCCACATGATCTTGAGCAAACTGAAGATGGGCAGCAATGTTCGGAGTTGTTTGGAGAGCAGTGGCTTTCTCCTTGCAACTCTGCCCTGGACTCATGAACATTAACATGGGCCAACGTGAGATAGGCCTTTTGTTGCTTAGAAGTTACCCTGGATCTTTTGTGACCTCTCAGACTATTACACATCTTTCTTTTGGAGTGATCTTTGTTGGTTGGCCACTCCTGGGGAGGGTAGCAATTGTCTTGTATTTCCTCCATTTGTACACAATCTGTCTGACTGTGGATTTGTGAGGTCCAAACTCTTTAGAGATGGTTTTGCCATGATACACGTCCACAAACACGTGTTGTGAAGATCAGTCTTAAATAGATCCCTAAATAAAACAGGGCACACAATGACACCTGATTATCATCCCATTGACTGAAAACATCTCAGAACAGGTTATATAAATCAGCTGTTAATCCTAGAGCTTCACATACTTTTGCCACTCACAGATATGTAATATTGGATAATTTTCCTGAATAAATAAATGACCAAGTATAATATTTTGTTTCAGTTGTTTGATTGGGTTCTCATTGTCTACTTTTAGTACTTGTGTGAAAATCTGATGATTTTTTTTTTGCGTCATATTTATGCAGAAATATAGAAAATTCAAAAAGGTTCACAAATTTTTATATTTTCAGTGTGTGTGTGTGTATATACATAATGTATATTCTTCTAATGTTCTCAAGACCTACAAATATATGCATTATCAACAATTTTAAGTCATAATGACAACACAGCACTGGTTTGATGGAGCAAACAACAGTCGGAACTGAACTCACTCACACCGAAATCGAGCAATACTTGTTGTTGAGACCTGCATATTTTCCATAATTTACACTCATATCTCACTCTCATAATATCATCATAAGTAGAAGTGCTGGTTATACAATCCATTTACTTCCCTGAGGGGACATCAGCTGGGGAGACATGAAGAAAACTACAGTAAAACATTGATCACATTTTAACTAAGCTTGGTATATTTCAAATGCATGTATAGGCAGAGGGGAAGAAGGCTAAAAGCATACTGAAATGGGACACTCGTCCCCCGTGCGTGTGCTTCCCGCCTCTGATGCTGAGCCTATGAATTTTAATCTTCTAATGGACGGCTGAAACCGGAATTTAAAAACCACCATCCGTCTGCTTCAATCTTAAATGGTGGCGTTGCATAGCCCAGGGATACAGAATGGAGGAATGTCACTTCCAGTGACAAGGCGGAGAAGTTCCGCTGACATTTTTGTTAAATTAGACAGTCAAGCGGAGTGATCGCAGACTATAGCGCAGTGCAGGAGACTGGAACAAACAGAGAAACGGAACGCATTGGTTATAATGGGATGCCTGGGGGCTGCATGAGCTCTCAATCAAGACCCCCGTGTTTTCCTTGATTGGTTTTAACATTCTGCATGCAGTAGCCCATGTTAGGATGTGTACCTCTGGGATTCTTATACTCTCATTTCTTTAAAGGGGCCTACATTTTCTTCATTTTTTTTGTAGCATTTAATTTTCTAAAGTCCACTTATAACTAGTCGAGGTTTCTTGCACCAAAGGTTTTGACCTTTAAAGGTTTGACCTTTTAAAGGTCTGGCTCACCCATAAATAAAAATTGTCATCAGTTACTCACCCTCATGTTGTTCAAAACCCATAAGTCTTTGGTTCATCTTTCTTTCTTTTTTAATGAAATCTGAGATAACCAAAACGGATCTAAAAGTTCTACAAGATCTAAAAAGGTCACAAAGGTATCATCAAATTATTCCATATGAATCAAGCAGTTTAATCCAAGTCTTGTGAAGAGCTATGATCTATTAAAATGATGAACAGATTTAATCAAGGATGTATTAGGTTAATCCTTATTTGGTCAGACATAAGGGCCCTCATTTATCAAAAGTGCGTACACCAAATTTCCAGCGTACACCTGGCGTACACCCAAAACCACGGTGACTTTGAGATTTATCAATATGGACGTTGGCGTACGGCACGCTCAAATCCTACGCCAGCTCACGAGGTGGTGTA